AAGAGAGAGAGATAGAGAGAGAGAGAGTGTGAGAGAGAGAGAGAGAGAGAGAGAGAAGAGAGAGAGGAGAGAGAGAGAGAGAGAGAGAGAGAGAGAGACACACACACACACACACAGACACACACAGAGATATAACGTTAGAGAAACAGAAAGATAGAGAGACAGAGACAGAGATGGAGAGACAGATAGATAGATAGAGATAGAAAGAGAGAGAGAGAGAGAGAGAGAGAGAGAGAGAGAGAGAGAGAGAGAGAAAGAGAGAGAGAGATAGATAGATAGATAGATAGATAGATAGAGAGAGAGAGAGAGAGAGAGAGAAGAGAGAGAGAGAGAGAGAGAGAGAGAGAGAGAGAGAGAGAGGAGAGAGAGAGAGAGAGACACACACACACACACAGACAGACAGAGAGACACACAGAGAGATAGAGAGACAGAAAGATAGAGAGACAGAGATAGAGAGACAGAGATAACTGTTAGATAGATAGATAGATAGAGAGAGAGAGAGAGAGAGAGAGAGAGAGAGAGAGAGAGAGAGAGAGAGAGAGAGAGACTATGTAAAGAGAGGGTTAGGTATCGTGTACTGTACATAGAGGAAAGCCTGTGATACATTATGACCTCAGGCTCTGGAATTGATGTACATGACCTTACATACATGTATCTGCACTTCAGCGCATACTGGGAAGTGGGGAAAGTGCTTTAACCACCAGACCCAGTACTTCACGGACAGGGTATCATTTACCAGTTCCTTTGGACGTCATGCAAAGACGACCTTATCTAGCTGAAGTCCTTACATTCAACACCAACAGAATACAATCTAATGATAGTACTGCTACTGTAGTACATCCTGGCTTTTTCAGCGGATAACTATCCGTTCCGACAAGGCGTTTAGTAGTCATCACTGCTACCAGACTAACGCAAGCTGCAGACCATTCATAATAATTTTTCAGCATTCAGACACAAGTCTAATTCCGAGTCTCTCTCTCTGTTTAGGTACTAGTCAATACAAGCAGAAAAGACTCTAGCCCGTACAACTGCGCGTGTTCAATATCCAGGTGATGAAAGCAGCGAAAGGGAGACTAGCGGGAACAAACATAGAAACCGGTATGAATTTGAAATGTTGATTCTCCCGCACATACACATAACCATGATGATAGTGTCATGTACATGTAGAATATTATTTCTCCTTTTCTGGCTTTCTGAGTTGATTTTGTATTGCATTTTCATCCATTGTATTTCTTTTGCCGGTAGAAGAGGCTTCATCACAACTCAACTGTGCAAGTCATGTAGAATGCACACCTTGTTCTGGAGAGAAAAGGGACTCAAAGCGGCAATCAGCACTACATGTGAGCTAATTATCACCGCCATCAAAATGTCTCTTCACATGGCCACCATCATCAATACAATGTCATGTACATGGATAGACTTGGTTGCGCTTCTACGTTCCAAAATAGATTCCGTCAGGGGCCTCTTGCACGGGTACCGGGTAATCACAAGGATGTCGACACTGGCGCGACATCTACTGTAGCAAAATTGCCAGCGACTATTTAGCAGACAGAAGACGAAAGTTGATACGTCTGGACACAATGATACGTTCATTCTTCTGACTCTACATGACATGTACGTGCGTGAGAATCACCACTATTAATAATTATTATTATTATTGTCTGTGACTGGGAGTGAGAATGTGACAGGCTGCTGTAATTATAGTATCCGGCATGAAAACGCCAATCATGTTGTCCACTCATTTCGCGAAGGCACTACTAAAACACGTGTAATTATGGACTATATTAAAGTTAAAGCACAGCTTGAACAGGAATTGTGCGATAGAGCGAATCGAGCAGCTAGCAGTCTGCCAGCTCTACCCTTGCCAGCTTCCTTTCCTTCATACATGTACTAAAAAATATTACAAAATACAGAGAGGCATAAACACAAGTTTGCAGTACAGTATAGGAATGCTAAATTTCGTGCTTAGTCTTGAGTTCTATGGCTATTCAGCCAGCCCGATCAGACGACTATAATAATAATAATTATGATACTAATTGTTCCTTCCTAGGGTTATGAGATTGGGGAGGAGGGAGATGTAAAGCCTGCAGGTGTGGTAATCAAGTACAGCAGTAGGTGAAGGCGAGGTGTGTAGCCATATCAAGCTATAATCGGCTGCACAGATATTGATGAACACTGGGGCGAAACAAACGCATGGCTGGTCCTGGTCATGTTTGTCAATCTACGTACAAAAAACAAAAGCACACAAAAAGGCCACAATTACACAAAGTCTTGGCACAATTTCACTGGCTCCCCTGTGACATTGCTGTTGTTTTGACACCTGCAGTAGCCTGCTCCCGGGAGCGGCTTCATTCATTCGCTTTACTCATCTGCCAGACTGAGCAGTTACTGATGAACCGGTGTTGGTTTTGGACTGAGTACAGCGAGGAGAATGAGTTAATAATCCGAAGATTGAGTATAGTTTCAAACAAGATAGCACACTGCACAAAGAATACACATCAAGCCACACTGTACAGAATATACATCAAGCTAAACTGTACAGAATACACATCAAGCCACACTGTACAGAATACACATCAAGCCACACTTTACAGAATACACATCAAGCCACACTGTACAGAATATACATCAAGCCACACTGTACAGAATATACATCAAGCCACACTGTACAGAATACACATCAAGCCACACTGTACAGAATAAACATCAAGCCACACTGTACAGAATACACATCAAGCCACACTGTACAGAATACACATCAAGCCACACTGTACAGAATACACATCAAGCCACACTTTACAGAATACACATCAAGCCACACTTTACAGAATATACATCAAGCCAAACTGTACAGAATACACATCAAGCCACACTGTACAGAATATACATCAAGCCACACTGTACAGAATATACATCAAGCCACACTGTACAGAATAAACATCAAGCCACACTGTACAGAATACACATCAAGCCACACTGTACAGAATACACATCAAGCCACACTGTACAGAATATACATCAAGCCACACTGTACAGAATATACATCAAGCCACACTGTACAGAATACACATCAAGCCAAACTGTACAGAATATACATCAAGCCAAACTGTACAGAATATACATCAAGCCAAACTGTACAGAATATACATCAAGCCAAACTGTACAGAATATACATCAAGCCAAACTGTACAGAATATACACAAGCCACACTGTACAGAATATACATCAAGCCACACTGTACAGAATATACACAAGCCACACTGTACAGAATATACATCAAGCCACACTGTACAGAATATACACAAGCCACACTGTACAGAATACACATCAAGCCACACTGTACAGAATATACATCAAGCCACACTGTACAGAATATACATCAAGCCACACTGTACAGAATATACATCAAGCCACACTGTACAGAATATACATCAAGCCACACTGTACAGAATATACATCAAGCCACACTGTACAGAATATACATCAAGCCACACTGTACAGAATATACATCAAGCCACACTGTACAGAATACACATCAAGCCACACTTTACAGAATATACATCAAGCCACACTGTACAGAATACACATCAAGCCACACTTTACAGAATATACATCAAGCCAAACTGTACAGAATACACATCAAGCCACACTGTACAGAATATACATCAAGCCAAACTGTACAGAATACACATCAAGCCACACTGTACAGAATATACATTGTGTTACAGTCACAATGAATATGCATCACGCTACTTCAGGATTGTGCGTAACGCTACATAAAGAAAGCACACGTGTTTGTCCCAGGCTCTAGTCTCAGTACCATTGTCGGTCTTTATTATTTTCGAGCTGGGAATGTAAAACATAGAAAAAAAAAAAAAAAAAAAATTCACGGTTCGCGTGAGACTCGGCCAAAGGCCCAGTTTTCCGCATCCGCAGGAACGCCACCACCCTCTTGGATCAAGGCGCAGATGCAGCTCCTAAACGGTGGGAGGTGAGTAGATCAGACCCACCACAAAGTGGTCAAAGACCGAAATCCCATTCACTGCATCCATGTTTCCCTCGTGCCAGGCCACGAGTTCCCAATTAACTGTGGGTCGCAGCACGGCTGGAAAAAATCCTTCCGCTTCCAAGCAGGACTTGAACCTGGTACCCTCTGTTTCTCAATCATGGTCTTAGACCATCCCACTATGCCTGCCTGCATCCACACACACAAACATAGAAAGAAGAAAAAAAACCCACACACACACAATCCTTCGATCTACAATAGTAACATACCCTCACCTAATGTCCTGACTTGAATTGTTGCCCAGGGTCCAGTTTGATGGAGGTAACCGAGCGCCGCCACACTCACTTCATATGTGCTGTTGGGCTGTTTGCCAGAGACTCGAATATCCAAGAAATTAATACTCAACAAGCTGCCATCACTTTCCCTCATTCGGTATCCCCAGATGGGGCCATTGCGATCCAACACATCCAGTTCTGTCCAGGATAGCTTGAATGAGGTCCTGGTTATATCAGTCACGCTTAAAACAGGGGCTGCTGATGGAGCTGCGCAAGTCCAGAGTTTGCACGCAGCAGAAAAAAGACAAAATCCCTAAGTAAGTGCTGAGAACGAAATAGTGGTAGCATTTTCAGCGATAATTAAAAGAAAGTTGTAATTCGATGATGCCATCTTCATTTGGTCCACCGATTCATAGTCGTAGTAGGTTCTTTACAGTCCATTCACAAAAAGATGGGCCCTGGCTCTGGCCAGCTTCCGTATTAGGTGATTTTTCAAGATTTTATTTTACACAGTGCAGTACTGTGAAATTTGAAATTTGAAAAGGGTCCAAAAAGGGTAAAAAGTTCTAGGAAAGTTAGTTGCTCCCACAACACAAGAGATCATGCTTTTCTTGCCAACTTGGGCCTGGCACTCAGGACCACCCGAAGCAGTTTTTGATAAGCCCATTGCGCAATAACGTAGTTTGTACCACCGACACCCCACACAGCCGCCTGGGCATGGTCGTGTGGGGTGGTTAAACGGCCTGGATTTTGATGGGTTTTCCCAATTCAGTGCTCTTGGGGCAAAACCTGGCCGAAATCCTATTCTTGCTATGGCTTGCTTTTTTGAGAAATAGACTTCAGAAACATAATTGGAAGAGGATTCCATAGGGGATTGCAGAAAAAATTCTAAAAAAAACTCAACGTTTTACCCATTTATGGCCAAAAGCTACACGTCCATCTTTTTCTGAATGGACTGTGGTCAGAAGTAACTACCGTACTGGCAATATATGTTGCCGCGTAACGCGTAACGCAGGGGGGTGCGGCGTAACGCGCGACCAGGCTAGTGCGACAAATTTTCGTTGCGTTCGTAACGCGCGTCCGGCGGGGTGCGGCGATCTTTTCATTGCAAAAAAGGCTGAAAACTGTGAAAGCACGTGTACCGCGTGGTGAAAAGTTCAAAACTGGACGCAGCAGGAAGTCCTGCAATAGCAAAAAAAGGGCTGCGGCAATATAGAAACCTGTGTAACGGCTCCGGTGCGACTTTGCATGTAACACCCTGCGTGCGGTAAACATGTGCCAATCAACGCTTCATGGCCTCTCTGCGACCATATATATTGCCAGTACGGTACTTGCTGTTGTGGAGCGTTGCTGGTGAACTGTTTGGTGTGGTGTTGGCAAGTGTCGTGTGCACGGTCTCGCCTGGTCGAAAACAAAAGAACGTCCTACCACTAAAAGAAAGTTGGCTAGTCCCAATAGGGAGTGGTGCTGTCTTGTAGGTTTGTTGAGTAGACAGTCGGATTAACCTCTCGTTTGCTCTGGATGCATGGCAGCAGTGTGTCATGCATGTGACGCAGGCCCGCCGGAACTGGTCCAGTTGGTCAGGCTATCACCGGACCAACATTCTCGGCCGCCGCCGCCATGTGTTTACTACCGTGGAGGTCATGTGCATCCGCTGTATTCTACACAAAGTGTGAACGGCCACATTACTGCTGGACCAATAGGCCCATGCGCATTGCCAAATATGGAAGGTATGAGTAATGCATGTGAGTACGCCGGGATCAGGGATGCACTGTTCAACACCCCACACGACCATGCCCAGGCGGCTGTGTGGGGTGTCGGTAGTACAGACTACGTTATTTCGCAATGGGCTTATCAAAAACTGCTTCGGGTGGTCCTGAGTGCCAGGCCCAAGTCGGCAGGAAACGCGCGATCTCTTGTGTTGTGGGAGCAACTAACTTTCCTAGAAGTGCTCAGAATACGCCACAATGCTTAGGCAAGATTGTCATGAATTTCACATCACGTGCATGCCAAGCACAGCACATCAGACCAGGGCACCAAACACAACAGAGAAGCATATCTACAAGCACAGTCATAGTGAACTGTGACAGGTTCCCCTCCATCTGTATGACCATTCTTCGAGGAGATATGACCAAGGAAATCATCACGGTGCAGGTGCGTAGCCTGCATGGGGCAAGGGACCACGTACCCCCCCCCCCCTAAAAATGGCAACCTAGGTTCAGCGAGCACATAAGGACCATGAATGACATGCACTAGCCATCTTTCACATATGCGGCCTTGCACCCCCCCCCCCCCCTAAAAGGGGGCCAGCTACGCACCTGCTGTGACCTTACAACTTGGCTCAGGCTGGGTGCAAGTTGATGAAGTACCAAATGAGAGCTAAACAAAGGGCAAAAGCTAAGTTTACCTGCAGGTTGCGTTCTGACATGATAGGTGATTGAGTCATTGCTTCTGGTGGACGCAGCTGTCTCCACATAACAGTGGACGTGGTATTTGCTGTCTTCCTCTAACCCAGTCAGGGAAATACTGCTCGAATTGGTGCAAAGTGTTGTGCCATTTTGGAATGCTGCTGCCACTCCCGAGACCGAGACCAGCTCATACACAACACAATACTCTGCGATGTTGAAGTTACTACTGCCAACCACTAGGGACACATTGATGGTTTGTGCAGAAGCTGCAAAAATGGCTTTAGGTGGCAGCGGAGCTGCATATGTGACAAAGAGAAAAGCAAAAAAAACAGGGGACTTTCAACATCATTCAAGCTCTACTCTTACAATCATTTAAATACTACGTAAAGACAAGAGTACAGTCCCGCTCAATGAAATCCAGTCGCTTCACTCAAGTTTGAACCTTACATCATTTCTCAGCCCAGTGTTCGCAAGTCTAGGGCTGCGTAACGCCCGGCGTGTACTTGAGTGACGTGACTGGATTTCATTGAGCAGCATTGTACATGAAATCCATAGTGTCCATCTGGGTTGGGTTGCTGCCACGGCGGAATTCCGTGATTACATCATTTTAGCGATGTAGTGCGTACAAGCAGGATGCAAGCAGATAGTTTGTATGTCTCTTGCTGCACAACTGCAGCTCAGTTGTATGCACTATACCATGTCCGGCCTCTAGCTTGGAAGGTTCAAGGCTGATGGTTTGCGAACTGGAGGTGTGTTAGAGCTAGGTCTCAGGTTGTTGAATATCTCAGTAAACATGTCAGTTGTGTGCCTTGTTATCGCACTTTCAGAATGCTTATTATCTTGTTACAGTCGTGGATAGTTGCTTCATAACTCGTTTCCATGTGATTTCCTGTATTTTAACTACATGCCGTATTTTTCCGGTTATAAGTCGACCTTTTACGACTGAAAATAGCAGGAGAAAAGGTGGGGGTCGACTTGCAACCGGGATTCGACTTATAACTGAGAATTATCGGTATCTTCCAAAAATGACCTGCACTGAATACACGAGTGCACCATGTGTATGCATTTTTGCCAAGTTTATTAATTGCCTTTTTCAAGGATTTGGATGTTTCACAATCCAATGAGGAGTGTTTATGCAATTTGTTCATGTGTTAGTAGCAGGGAGCGGTTAGCAGTGCTTCGTTGGGCAAAACTTTAAAAACATAATTAAGACCTCCGGATACGGGGGTCGACCTATAACCGGGGTCGACTTATAACCGGTAAAATACGGTACCCGATTTCGCAATCTATACCTCGCATGCAAAGACGCAAATCTATATAACTTAATAGTAGACACTTCCTTTCATCTATCAAACGTTTTCTTTTCCTTCTCTTCAGCACAGGAGTAACAATGATTCCGAGACCTTTGGTCGGAGGAGTTACTTTTGCCCCGCCCCCACTTCCATCCAGTATGCTGTGCAGTATGCTGTGCAGCATCTGATTGTTCTGTGGAACTCAGTTTAAAAACAAAACAAAAAAAACAGGGAATTGACAGGAAGGAAGTGTCTACTTGATTGTGGGGATTTGCGTCTTTGCATGCGAAGGTATAGATTGCGCAACTACTGTGACCGCCTCCAAACTACCGCTTCCATTATACCCGATTTCATCATAATTACTCCTTTCAAAAAGTGACAGAATATACGTTGCCTCCTATTGCCATTACACATGTACATGTGTTGTAGTACGTTATTCTGTGTATGTCGTGTGTACGTCATGTTGGTGCATGCGCGTGTTGCTGTGGTGTGAAAAGCAGTCTTCGTCTTCAGTTCGTCATGTCTAGTTGTGTTTCCGTAGTTGCCTTGCAATAAACAGTCTTTCAAAAGTAGTTATCATCGTCCCTTTGTATAAGTGTGGAGATGGCACGGGACTGGGAGCAGGTGGAGGAAAGGCAGTTACAAGGCAGTTACAACACATGTACATGTGTCGTACATGTGGCTGAACTTGTACTGTAGTTGTAGCTCTTCGTTGTACATGCCGCTGCGCGTGTAGCTCTTTGTCGTACAGTCAACTTCGCTAATAACGACTGCGGATATAACGACAATTCGCGAATAACGACATAATTGTCATGCCCAGAGCATAGTCCCATCCAACAGTGACACATATAATGAGACTTCAGGTATAACGACACTTCGCGAATAAGGACACTTTTCTGATGCCCAGCCGCCGAGTGTCGTTATACGCGAAGTTGACTGTACATGCTGCTGCGTGTTTGTCTCTTTGTCGTACATGCTGCTGACCCGTGGTACATGTACACGCTTCTGTGTCTCACTCATCGGACATACGTAAAGAATGTGCACAACTCCACATACGGAACCTGTGCAACGGTACATAAAGCACACAAGCAATCTTTCGACATACGTACCCTCAGCTAATGTCCTGACTTGAAGCGTTCCCTGGGGTCCGGTGAGATTGCGATAACCGATGGCCGCCACGCTCACTTCATACGCACTGTTGGGTTGATAGCCGGTTAGTCGAACACTCAAGTCATTAGTAATCAACACCCTGCCATCACTGCTCTTCACTTGGTATCCACTGAGGGGGCCGTTATGATCCAACACATCCAGTTTAGTCCAGGACAGGCTAAACGAAGTCCAGGCTATATCAGTCACATTTAGAATAGGGGCCGCTGATGGAGCTGTGCAAGTGCAGAGTTTGCACGGAGCAAAAACATAACACAAGTCCCAGGTGCTCTCAGAGGGAAACTCTGTTATCGCTTTCAGCAATAATTATAAAAAAAGCTGCTTGCTCGCAATATGGAGTGGTGCTTTCTTGCAGGTTTGACGAGTCGAAGGTCGGATGGACTCGCAAGTCATCATGGTTATTACGTACATGCTGAACATAGGTTGAATATTTTTAGGGGGGGGGGGGGTGCACATTTTATTTTATTTTATTTTATTCCAAGCAATACATGGCTGGGGTAGCTTATGACCACTTTGCGTGGCGATTGCAGGGTTTTATAGCCAACCACGGCACATGCCCCAGCGCCCCATACAGGCTGGGCACCTGCAAACACAAAGTGTGAAAGGTCGGCCACATTACTACCGTACCAATCAAAACTGTTCCCGAGGCGGCCCTGAACTGTGTCCCGTCAAGTGTACACTCCAGGCAGGTTGGGAGCAACCAGCTTTCCTCTAAGTGCTGGGAACATGCCATCAGGCCTTGGCAAATAGCTGCCATGAAACTCACTTCACTTGCATGCCAGGCACAACACATCAGGGAGACAAAGGACCAGAGGAGCACATCTACAAGCACACCGTTAAATGTGACGGGTTCTCTCCGATTCTTGTTCTTTTTCTCATTCTCCTTTTCTTCTTGTTATAGCCAGATTCTGTACAGGTCTCACCTCCTCTTCTTTTTTTCCATCATATAAACTATTCTCATCATCTTGTGAGAACCGGCCGTCACAGCCAATGAGAAGGCATAAATGGCTGTTCGTTTTGGTGAGGTAAAATATGTAAGCAACAAGCTTTATAACCATTTTTCGGAAGAGAGATGGCCAAGCAGAACACCTTACAATTTGGCACAGATCAGCGCCAGTTGTTGAAGAACGAAGAAGAGCTAAAAACAGTGCAAAGCTAAGTTTACCTGCAGGTTGAGTTCTGACTTGGTAGGTGATTGAGTCATTGCTTCTGGCGGACGCAGTTGTCTCCACATAACAGTGGACGTGGTATTTGCTATCTTCCTCTAACCCAGTCAGGGAAATACTGCTCGTATTGGTGCAAAATGTTGTACCATTTTTGAATGCTGCTGCCACTCCCGAGACCTCGGCCAGCTCATACACAACACAATACTCTGCGATGTTGAATTTACCAGTGTTAACTACCTGCGACACATTGATGGTTTGTGGAGAAGCTGCAAAACTGGCTTTAGGTGCCAGCGGAGCTGCATATGTGACAAATAGAAAAGCAAAAACACGGCACCTTTAAAATCCTACAAGCTCTACTTCTCTTACAAAAACATCAAGATGTAGTGAAAGATACATTGCCGAGGAAGACTGAGAAACAACAAATCGGGTAATTCCCGGATGAAGAGCTGAATATACAGACATTTAGAAAGAAGGAGAGAGAAAGAGAGAGAAAGAAATAGAGAGAAAGAGAGAAATCAAGTCTGGACAAAAAGGTATGAAGAAAGAGAGGAAAAAGATATGATAGAAAGTGAATAAGAGAGTGAAATAAAAAGAAGTATCCATGATTAATGATCATAGTTACTCCGTTCAAAAATGATAGAATAGGAAGTGCTGCCAGTAACCATTATACATGGACATGTAGCGTATTTTCCGGAGTATAAGCCGCACTTTGAACTCTCCAAATTCACCCAAAAAAGGGGGTGCAGCGTATACTCAGATGATCAAATTAACCCATACATATACTCCGTTGATCAAATTGACCCGTGATAAATAGGTTAGATGTCTGTATGGTGGCAAAAGTGGGAGGGGGGGGGGGGCTTATACCCCGGAAAATAAGATGCATGTATATTAATCATTGGATATGACTTGCACAGATGTATTGCTGGTTTTTGCTAGTGCTTTGTAAGCTGTGCGTTACGTACCTGTGCAAACACGTCGCTCACATTCACAGCTTTCCTCGAAGCACTGCTCTGCACACGGTAGGAGATAACCAACCGACCAAACAACCAAACAAACGCAAACATGCACAGAGTTGATTGGCCGCTCAGGATGCCATTTTAAATTCCAAGCAAGCACGCAATCATCTGACAACATTCATCGCGAGTAAACGAGTTGGGAGGAGGATCAATGATTTTCTAGCAGACCTTTTGAATGATATTCGCAAACATAATCCACATACTGCTGTAATAGTCACACACACTCAAAGCAAGTGCTCTATTTTTATTGTACACATCCCAAATGTACACGGCATTGCATTCAACTGATGGCAACATTGTAGAAAGTGAAAATCTTGACTAAATTTTACGGAACTTTTTCCCCTTCCCCTCTTTCCGTAGATATGTGCACTGCAATAAAAAAAACTCCGCTGACAATCATGGGAACAAATCACGTTCAAATTGTTTTGCAACAAAGCATAACAAGTACGGAATTGACAGTAAACGGCGTTGACATTTGGATATTGGAAGGCGGTTGGACTGCTCAACATGGATCCTGTAAAGCATCTTGGACTGTGTGAAGCGCTTCGCACTGTGTAAGGTATCTTGGACCGTGCAAGGCGGTTCGGACCATGTAAGGTGCATTGGACTGTGTATGGCGGTTTGGACCGCGTAGGGCGCCCTGGACCGTGTAAAGCGTCTTGGACTGTGTAACGGACCTTGGACTGTGCAACGGACCTTGGACTGTGTAAGGCACTTTTGACTGTGTAAAGCGTCTTGGACTGGGTAGGGAGGTTTGGACTGTGTAAAACGTTTTGGACTGTGTAAGGCGGTTTGGACGGTGTAAAGCGTCTTGGACTGTGTAAGGCGGTTTGGATTGTGTAAAGCGTCTTGGACTGTGTAGGGAGGTTTTTACTTTAGTGAGCATCCTGGAGCCAATAGGGTACGTGGACCTCCTAGAGGTCTTACATACATCCCAGTGCAAGTGTACACACAATCACTTACTGTAGCAGACAACGTTAGCCAGTCGGTCTCTCAGGGCACCCTGCTTGTACTGGTTCCAGTGCGTGTACTGTTTGTAAATGACGTCGTACTGATCGGTGCCGTCCGTCCACACCACCAGCCCGTCGCCATACCCGTTGGGTATCATTCCCTTCAGCATGCTGATAACGCACATGCGCAGCGTCCGTGCCATTTCTCGGAACAGCGCAAAGCCGAACAACCGGTACCCGCTGTCCGAGCACATCTCTGTGGCGACCGAGAAATTCCTAGCCCCAACGTCCAGTGTACGCCAGTGGAACACGCGGCGATCGTCAGTTGGGCATACCGCATCCAAACCTGGAAAGTACAGGACCAAACAGGCACGGCCAAAGCAAGAACCGTCAGCTCCGGGAACATTTTACCCATACGGGGGATCCATTATCTTAGTTGGAGGAGGTTTAAAAAGAAAAAAGACACAGGTCATGCAACGAAGGATGCAAAGTTCCTCTTATTAGCTACAGGCCATCGTGAGAATAAAATATTTCAAAAATCAAAACAGTTGTTTTGAAAATACCGCCATTCCGGCAACAGGCTCTCAACTGTTGCCGGAATGGCGGTATTTTCAAGTGCAAGAAACACGCTGCAAGGGAGTTTGGGAATTCTGAAGAAAAGTTGTTTTCGGTGGATTAAAAAGAAGTCTAGAGTAAACACGTGACGGTGAGATCTATCTGATAATCACTATGTGTAAGAGGCAGTGTTAGTGTGTCAGTTAGTGATGAAGGGACTGCCATACCGATCATAGTTGAGGAATCATCAGAATATAATTTTTTTGTTACGTCATCACGTATCAGAAGTTAAACAAAAGCACACATAACTAATATGATGCCTGCCAGTTTGACTCTCTCTTTCAGGTTAATACTGATATCATGTCTAGTGTTATTCTCGAGCATGTGTGCTACTTTTCAGCATTCCTTTCCTTTTCCCCGTTTGTAAACGTACTCGTGAAACTACATGAACTTGTCTCGAACTAGTCTCCAAAGTATTGCATCGCCTCAATGGACACATAGCGTTTTTTTGTACTTTGCCGCGGGGGAATTGTGAGTTCATCTGCGATATCTGTATGATCACAAGTGAGAAAACTGACAGATGCTTACTTTTAACACACAGTTCATGTCCGATGACCCAATCGTCAGTCTCGCACCTAGCTGTGCCGACAGGCAAGAAACCTGGATCACAGACGGCGGCAACTCGGTCACCCAAAGATGTAGTTTTGAGAATACCATTGCCAACCATCCTATGAGGGCAAACACCTGCATAAACACAGAAGAAAAGCAATTGGTCTTGTGCAGATTCACTGATGTCCGTAACAAGAAAACAGTTCGTACCAAATCCGCTCATTATTTCTCGTTGTATGCCCTACAATCATTGTTTCACACCACACCCATGCATGTCGACAGGAAAACTACTACAAAACAGAAACAGGAATCATTTCATAGCCAAACTCGTCAGTTCAAACTCGGATACTGAGCCAGTAATAAATGTAAAAAAAGAGAAGAAACACATGCGAACGAAAAAAGTCAGTATAAAAAAAAGTGCGTCTGAGCCCACTGCTAAACACAATCCCGACAGGAGCAAGAACACACTTCACACTGGGCAACTTACTGCGGCGACAGACGTGTGGAGGATGAACCCAACCGTTCGGCGTGCACTGGACCATGCCAGTGGGTACAAATGATCGTCTGCAAACTGGTAAGATGTCGTCGAGACTGACCGGATGGCGGTCTAGGTGACCGTATTTGAGAATTGTTTCTGGACAGGCTGTATGCGGAATTGAAAAACGGAAAGAAAGACTTAGTATTCTCTTTTGCGTGCTTTTTGTACGCTCATATCTCCGGACTTCGAAGTTACGGGCACATCCGTCTACCACACACCCTGTAAGCGATTTTTTGCGGTGGAAAAAGTAGTACTCTTTTGTACGGTTTCTGCTGGGATGATGGCTACACCTAAGCTTAGTGGTAGAGCATAGCTGGCCTCAAGCAATGGTCCCTGGTTTCGAGTCATGGTGGTGACAGTCAATTTTTTCTTCAGACTTTTCCCGTCTGTGTCTTTCCCTCAAACCAGTCACGAACTCTTTTGATAGTTTTTGTTTACCATACCATAAAAGCCAGTGTAAATGCCCGGGCCATACAGAGTAGCAGCCTTGAATTCCTGGGCGTATACAAGGGCAAGGCCATTATTTAGGAACCGGGCATATACTTAAAATAAAAAAATGTTGAAATTCTCCCCTCGCTCAATAAGGGACCGTCCGGGGTTACCGATTGTTTTTACAAAACGAAAAGTTTTAGTATTTTTCAGCCCCCACCCACTCACCCACCTTTTCTGCAGGTAAAACGAATTCCAATAAAATATTGATGTCAATTTTCGACACCCAAAAGTAACTGGGCATTCTCCATCTGCATTCAATAATTATTTTCAAAACGAAACTCCATCAAACCCACCCACCCACAAACGAAATCTTTTCGTTTTGGAAATATTATTGGTAACCTTGGACGGCCCCTAACTGTATCCATAGTATCATTATTTTAGCTGAGCATGCACACTATAAATAAATACAGTGTCCCCGTAACATGTACAACCAACCAGAACCAGTGTTCAGTGTTCTGGTTGGGGAAGAGCGATCCTGAAGCACATCCATCAACACCGGTAACTATTATGTGTTGAGTACAATACCCGCACTGGTATTGATTACCAGCATGCGGCCTGGGCGTATACATGGGCATGGGTGACATTTTGAAACAAATAATTGACTTCACCTGACTGGGCGTGTCACACGGAGGGTGGCCGTGATCTCGAGTGGGCGTATTTACTGGCTTGTACGGTATGCCAGATCGCTGGCCGTCGCCCACCAAAACGTACGCAATTCGGAGTTATGGACATTTCGAAGTTACATGTACCGACAGTGCCCGGTCCTGGACTGCCCGAATAAACGAGGTATGAGGGTATCTGTTACGTCACTACATATTCGTTACAAGAGTACACATATTATGACTTTGTCTACTAGTTTGTATATCTGGAGCATGCGTGCAGCTGGTCAGGGTTCCAGTCTCTCCGGAGGCGTGGGTTCGAATCCCACCGCTGCCACCATTGTAACTCGTGTACTCTCAGCACTCAAAGCACATACTTGTTGTTACGTAAGTAGTTATCATTCGTTCATTGTCTCACAAGGAGAAGAAGAAGACAAGGCAGTGCGAGTATGCGCACAGCCTATCCATGCATTCCTACGGTGTACTATTTATGTGTATACAAATTACGTGTAAAGTAGCCATGCTAAATCTTTCCCCCTTTCCTTGTAATAATGAACGTCTTGTAAATCTACGGCTTGTCGGTTGTGTTTGGACTGAGACTTTATCGATATGGATACATAACAGTATGCCAATCCATAACACCAAGAGGAGATAAACAAGAGTGTGCAACTCTGGATCTCTCCTGCACAATCTGCAGATACCCCCGCCCATGGCGGAATTTTTTGTTGACGTCACCTTTTTTCAGAGAAACGCGCATTTTGCCGCAGAGCAGTGTGAGAGCACGTGCTGGGCACCGACCTTGTAGTGTAAAGCCCGGCCAAGAGCACGAGGGAAAACTTCCTGAAAGACTCGCAACGCGTGCGTCGTCGAAAAAATTACATCAACAAAAAATTCCGCCGTGGGCCTACCCATCTGCGAGTTGCACCCTCTTGTTTATCTACTCTTGATTACACGCTACTCAGTTACAAAACTCACACATGGTCTCTCTACAGGAAACATCACTTGAGATTCAGCACAAGTGACAGGCATGGGTCATCAGCAGGCTTGAACAGTGATGTCGCCATAATACCTCTCGAAATGCTATAAAAATTCCGTTCTCTCGCTGATTTTTGAATTGGAACATCGGATTGGATCGACACAGTGGCAAGTCAACAGTCATAATTCGTAGGCAATGACTGAATATCATGTTAACACTTGGATTGGTCCGTGGACATCACTGATTTTTGGCAATGCTGTTCTGTTCTGAGCTGTTTCCTCCCTTGCTTCAGTGTATTGCAGTCGAACTTTTTCTTTGACCACTACTCCCAGGAATGAGGACGGGGTCTCTGGACAAAATTTTCATAATGAATGGCTTTTTAAGTCTACCCAGGAGGGGTATGGGAAGCAAGCTGCATATCCAAGATTATTTTTAAAAGACATGGAATCTGTTTGCTTTTTTTGCCCAAATATATATATTTAAAGGTGTGTGTGGAGTATTGCATGTTAACAAGCAATACTCCACACACAAGTATTGCCACAAACTAATGGTTCGCACCAAGCATACACACAAGCATACATACAAGCATACACGCAATTGATTATACAGTCTTCCTTCTTCTTTCTATCGTGTCTTCTAAAGTATTTTACTTATCTTTGCGCCATTTTAATATTATTATTTATTGTTTATTGCACTCATATTGTTTATTTATGACACCTTCCAGTGGCTAAAGATGAATCAGTGCCAATATAGATGAGGAGGGGACGTTTGCCAGCCATGGCGCAGAAAGAAAGTATAAGAAGGGTGGTGGTGCACCAATACCATGGTAAATAACAGAGGAAAGGGAGCAGTACAGCCGACATGAGCCGACCGACATGGCACGCTTACGACGTTTCCATGGCCCTGATGTGCGACATACGGTTTTCTGGCGCGTTTTCCTGGGGCTTGTCTCCGTGTGTCGTCCTCTGGTTCTTTGGTTATTCATTACATGGTCTAATGATGAGTTACAGTTTTATCCTATGAACTAAGAGAACCCAAGATGCGCTCGCGTTGAGCCAAAGCATTCTTACATTCAACCCTTTTGTAAATTGGTCCTTCGAGCCAGATCGCCGGATCGAACCAGAGAAGCCCAGAGGTGGCAGAGAGCAGCAGTGTTGGTCCGCAGCTGAAAGTCGCCAAGGCGAAGGCGAAGATGGAGTACACTAATGTCTGCCGTGGGTTGCTGGTCTCCATCGTGGAAGACACTGTGAGTGCCGATGAGATTAAGTATGGCCTACTGATGCTCGAGAATAGTATGAGCTCCGTGATGGAGGTTGTTTCAGAGCTGGCAAATACATTTTACAAGAATCCTGCTTATTTGGAGAGTCTGGCAAAGGAGACTGTGGAATTAGAAGTGTCGTACACTGAGGCGGTGACGCAGGCCAGCACTGTTTTAGCAAACATCAGCATGAGTAGATACAACAGTGCACAGACAAGCGACATCACGGGGTTGCGATACACCCGTCATCACCCAGAGAGAGTTCAGGCCTATTTGGATTCCATTTCAGCTACAGACAAAAACAATCAGCACGACCAAGGAGCAACAGTGTACGTCGGTGATGTAGTAGTCGTGCACGACGACAATGAGAAGCGCGGCCTGTGGAGACTAGCGTTAGTCGAAGACCTCATCCGAGGCAAGGACAACAAGGTCCGAGGGGTGCAGTGATAATATGCTCTTCCCGTGGAGGACGAGCATCCACCATGCGTCGTCCGGTGCAGCGACTGTACCCCGTAGAGGTATCGAGACCTGCACCAGCCGCCGACATTCTCGCCGAACAACCGCAGGCAGTTGTTGCGGACACAGCCTCCGCTACCCAGCAATCGGGTGTGCACCCCGGCGCCATGTGTCCCAAGAGAGATGCTGCCCGGTCGGCTGATAAAGCCAGACAGCAACTGATTGATGCCGGCACTTTATAGAACTAAAGTGTGTGTGTGTGTGCCTGTGTGCGTGTGCGTGCGTGTGTGTGCGTGTTTGCGTGCGCCTGTGTGCGTGTGTGTGTGTGCGTGTGTGTGTGTGTGTGTGTGTGTGTGTGTGTGTGTGCAAGCAAAGCCCCATTTCCATCCTTTTCTTAACATCGGTATACTCCATTACTTACGTTTACCACAGAGACGTCCACCACGGTGATATTCACATTCACAGTTCTCATCCATACACTGCTCTGCAACCGGGCATGAACACGTATGCACAAACACGCGCATGTATGCGTGCACACACACACACACACACACACACACACACACACACACACACATGCACACACACACACACACACACACAAACACACACGGACACACACGAACACACATACACACACACACGCACACACACACACACGAACACGAACACACACATACACACGAACACGAACACACACATACACACAAACACGAACACACACATACACACAGTCTTCAATGCTTTGTGACATGGTGAAATAGAGGTGAAGATGCAAGAACTCAGTGCCTAGGATGAAGCATGCATTACACTTTGTTTCATGTGCTGGAAACACTTCACAATGCCTGTGCCAATGGTCGCATGGTGAGCCAAATCAGTGAAACTCAAGTCAACCTTTTCGCCGAGACGGGCGTCGGGACGTATTCACCGGACCCAAAATGAAGTATGACGCATGTCTTAGTGTGGCTCCCTAATGAGTGCCTTGAGAAACTTCAGAACCTGAGCGATGGGACCTAACGTCAATAACATGGTAAAAGCAATGAGCAGCTGACAACAGACGATCACTCACTGTAACACACAACGTGCCCCAAAGCACCTCCGGTGGCATCCAGGATCGTTCTAGCCCTGGGAAACTCGTAAATGACGTTCCTCTCCAGAAGATTGCCGTCTGTCCACAGTCGAAGGCTGCCGTCGACGAAGCCACCCAGCCACATTCTCTCCAGCAGGCGGTCGACGCACGGACGGATGGCATGTGACATAGACTTAAACATAGTGTAGGAGAACAGCCGGTAACCCTGGTCAAAGCAACTTTGTGCGGCGGTAGAACGATTCTGAACGCCGATGTTCAACGCAAGCCAGTGATTCATTCCACTGGTTTGCGCTGGACATACAGCATACCAACCTGGATAGAGTATGCACAAACATCAAAGTAGGAAAAGAAGTCAATTGGCGAATCGGATCTTGAGCAATTAGTGTTGAACATCATTTTGCATGTTACTCTATCTGGTTCAGTTGACTCTCCCTCCCTCCCTCCCTCCCTCCTTCCCTCCCTCTCTCTCTCCCTCCCTCCCTCCCTCCCTCCCTCTCCCCACTTGTACTAGCCACCCGTGCTTACCCACAGTAACTGACCAGTGTAGAGTACTTATGTAACATCAGCATTGTAGAGTACATATGTAACATCAGTACTGTAACACCACTAACCTATTCTGCACACCACTGGCCGTGCCAAGTGGCAAGATGCCACACGGGTCGTGCCATCGGACACCTTCAGGTAGCGGCAGGATCTGTCGCCTACATACGATGAGTGCAGCTCCAAACTGTCCACATCACTGCGTCCGGACATAGTCTCCCTCACTAAGCTCAATGAGCAGGTTTTCTGCTCGCCCTCCGACCCGGCCAGTTGCCCGTTTTCTCGCCGACACAGCTCAACAGCGTGTCTGAAGTCAAGTGCAAACGGATGGTAGACATACTTGCTGGGAACTGCAACACTGCCACCATTGGCAGGACACCGAGAGGAGGCTGGAGAATCGCCTGTTGAATACAGCATGTAAGCACACAGACACATGGAGACACAAACAGACAGACACACACAAACACACAGGCAGACACAGATAGACACATACAGACAGACAGATAGACAGACACACACACACACAGACACACAGACACACAGACACAGACACACTCACAAACACACATATAGACACAGACATGCACAGACACACACACACATATGCACACAAACAAACATACAGAGAAACAGACAAGGATACATACAGACAGACAACAAACAGACAGACAGGCAAACATACACAAATGATTGTTGATATACTGCAAGGAAGTCAGTTATTTTTCTGAATATTTTTTAAACCAGCCAGAACATAGTGAGACATAAAGAGTTGCTCAAACAGAAACTATGCTAGATATTGCATGCTTACCATGATGCAAAAGTGAATTGAACGCCGTATAATTCACTCTAAAAGGCAAATATCGTACTCAGTACTTGCGATTGTGCTAAGGTATTGAATATCTTACTGGTTTGTTCACATGATTAGTAGACTAAAATGCCGCGTGGATCGCTCCACTGCTGACAACTCACTCATCATCAGCCCCGTGTGGTGGGACTAGAAATAAATGAGCCCCACGTATGACCCCAGAAGAGAGCTACCAAACGTTCTGCCATTCTTCTGCTCTTTTATCCCTCCACACTGACACATTCGATCACGACATACATAATTACTATGCAATGTCAACCCCCACCTTTCGCTATTATTATTATTGGGCCGCTGAGTGACCTCATTTGACTGCGAACGGAAAAATAGATAATACAAAACAATACTTACCTATCCTCCTAGCGCATACAACTGGATGCAGCGTATTGACACAATGAACACCATCCGCGATGGATTGCGATCCTCCTATCCATGCCTGGCTGCAGTTCTGCGGTCGGAGTGGTGCTGGAGTTATGCTGTCGTACCTCTGCAAGTTGTGTGCAACGTCCACAAAGTGTCCTGGGTCGAACAGCTTTGTGTAGGCAATATGAAACTCGGTGGCCAGCATCGCAATGCTCTCCTTGCAGCCCGACGCTTGTGGAAATCCGATGAGATGGGAGTTCTTGCGTTGGCACAGCTTCTCTGCTTCGGTCCAGCCCAATTTGCCGGAGAGGCTCATCGGGTCAAACTCATTCACTAACACTTGCTCCTTGTCAGCACCACAGCTAAACCAGATGTCGACTGTAATGGAGAAGAAGAGAGAGAAGGATTGAAAAGAATTTAGTTCTATTCTTAAAAAATAACAGTTGAGAAGAAGAAAAACTTCAGACTCTTAACCAGCATCAAAGTTAACAGTGCACACTAGCATCTTTCATAATTATTAAGGAGGCAGGAAGAGCGCCTGTCCACCTAACAGTGGATGCCACGGACCTGAGCCTGCTGACCACCATGAACTTCTGGCCAAGGCCACTGTATGCCAGGCCATGGCGACTGTGGGGAGCAGCATGGCTGGAGAAAAAAACCCTCTCTCAAGTAAGACTCGAACCAGAAACCTCTGCGACATCTCAATCATGGTCTTAGAGCTACCCACTGTGTCTGACTGGGTCACACAATGCATGCTGGTATCATATCTAAGTCAGTCACACAATGCATGCTGGTATCATAATCTAAGTCAGTCACACAATGCATGCTGGTATCATAATCTAAGTCGGCCGGGGAGATTTGCTTGTACTGTACAGGCAGAACATTTCGTCGGTCAATAATTTCGTCCAACTCCAAAGCAAGGGAGTTCGTCCTTTGTAAATTTTCGTCCATGGATCATAAAAGTGTATTGAAAAGCAGGACGAATCGACATTCGTCCGGCATTTAATTTAGTCCAAAAGCTCCTGGGACGAAAAAGACGAAATTAAATTCCAGACGAATATTTATGCTATACAGTATGTGTACTTACATGTTGGTTTGCAGACAAAGTCTGAGACCCAAGTGTAGCCGTCATTACATACACATGTAGAGTTCACCTTCTTTCCAAACTGGCATGATCCTAAGCAGGTACCAAACATGGGAGACCATCAATGAAGAACACACACACACACACACACACACACACCCACAGATGTTATAGCACCACAAGCATGATTGTACAGTCACCTGCCCTGTCCCTGTCCCTGTCCCTGTTCCTGTCCTGTCTACTGTAAAAGCAGAACTTTTCGGTGGTGTTTTATTTTCGGTAACTTCGGTGCCGACAAGTTTTACCGAAAATAAAACGCACCGAAATTTTCGGTACAACCGATACTGTATACATGTAGTACTAGTACACTTACCTGGAGAACGGGTTTTACCGAAAATTTCCCTCCACCGAACCGCCGATTTTGGCGAATACCGAAAATATTACACCACCGAAATTTTTTGCTTTTACAGTACCTACAAGTACTTCCAGTGTGCCGGGGAGGAAGGAAAGAGAGATATGAGCATGCATACGCATGATGCGTCACACACAGACACACAAAAATGCATGCGCACAAACACACACAAACACACGAATGCACATGCGCACACACACACTTACACACACACAAACCTGCCGGCACACAAGAACTTTCACGCATTTCATACTGTTAGAATACCACTTCTGGATATGTAAACTTTAATAGGGTGGGCACAGTGACATCAGTCCACGGAGATCAAATTTCTTAGTCAAAGAGACAGAAGGTTTTGGATGGGTGTGGTGGGAGATGTTACTGAGAAATGAGTACTACGGTTGTAAAAAGCTGTGACTGCTAATCCGATTTTGTTCTCTACCTGCCTCATACATGTATGCTAAGGAGCTGAAACGTACAAACTTCAGAAAAAAACATGGCTGAAACTTACGGGCACAGGAACCGTTCACACCAGTCACTTGGCCATCCGCCCCGCAACTTGCAGTAGCAGAATCATAGACTTCGTATCCACTATCACAAGTTAACGTCAGTGTATTCTGTGCAGCGGTGAAGTCCCCTGTGCTGTATGCTCCGTTGTCGGGATTGGTTGGTCGTGTACAGATTCCTAGCAACACAGGTCAGAGGCAGAATGGTCAGTGTGAGTGTTTTCAGCTTTTCAAGCTGTATAGTGGGGTTTGGGTACTGGGTGAATTTTACCAGTGAGAATAGCAATTTTTATATTTTAATGTATACCCAGTGCTGTGGACAGCAAGCTGTTTCGGCCATCCAGGCCTCATCAGTACAGCTACGAGCTTTTTAAAGTAAGGCGAACTACCAGCCATGGTGCAAAGGTAGCACCACAGACTTTAGAGTAGCTCGCCGCTCTAGCGCCAGAGTGCTCAAACTACGAAAAGTTAGCGAGCAATGCATGTATTTGTTCAGGTAGTGTTTGTGTCAGGGTGAGGATCTAGCTTGCAATCTAGCTTGTGAAAATATTACACAATACTGACATCCACGTGTTCATTCATTCAACCTTCAGAAAACCAGCTATATCAAATCCATTAGGTGTCTCATCAACCGAGCTATGTTACATTCCGAATTGTTGCACAAATTGTTGCATGAAGACAGTCTGCGCTTTGCATTCAACTCTAGTCTGAGAATACTTGCATCCCGGGGCTCTCCCAAGCACGGTGCATATGTACAGTGTCTAAATAGAATGTCCGGCGAGAAGCTCACCACAGCTGCTTACAAGCTATTATGTTGGATAACTGATATCATTTTTATGTGCATAATATGGCTGGATTTCACTGATTTATGTACACAATACCCAAACTAGTATATTCATGCATATTCATGAATTGCTCCATGTACACATACATGTTAGCATACTAGACCACATCTACTTCAAGTAAATGCATATTACACCGGATACTAGTAGTATACAAAAAAAACAAAAACAAAAGTTTCTTTTTATTTATTTTTTAGAATTTTACTGTTGAGAGTCATAAAATTACCACTCCCGGGCTTGTCGGATACTAGTAACCGACGTGCTCGGATAACTGGCGACCGGATAAGTGACATTCGACTGTACATGATTGTTGTGTACACACATGTTTCTCAAGATCTAGCTGGCAGTTCCGCTTGCAAGGACTGAACGAGGACTCTAGGTCATTCAGAATTGCTTTTTTGGATACAACTCCGGTCTGAAAATGTTCAAATTGTTCCACACGAAACACACGCCCATGGAACATGCACGCAGATCCTGATCAAATGGCCATGAAGCCCATTACTGCTACCAACCAACTACAATTTAGACTCGCGGCTTCACAAAGATGACAGAAACTTACGTGCACAGGTACCATTAACACCAGTCACTTGGCCGTCTGCTCCGCAAGTTGCCACAGTAGAACCATCAGCCTGGTACCCACCATCACAAGTTAACATCAGGGTGTTCTGGACAGCGGTGAAGGCCCCTGTGCTGTAGGCTCCGTTGGCTGGGTTGGTTGGTCGTGTACAGGTCCTATTGGCAATGGGCACTAGAAATACAGATCAGCGGAAGAATCGTTACAGTGAATTCTTTAATTGTATGCTTTCAAGAGATAGAAAAAAATCGACGGGTCCGCGTACCGGGCAGGTCAAGAACAAGGAGTCGTACAACTCCCTGGTCAAGAACCACCTTTCCGCTTCCGTGGGACGCCACCACCCCATGATCAGGCGTCAGATGCGGGAAACGGTGGGGGAGGATAGATCAGATCCACCAACCAGAGGCCAAAGGCCTTAGTCCCATTTGCCACATCCATGTTCAAGAGATAGAGGGCGAAGGTAATTACACAATATTGCCTCCTTAGTGTACAGTTCTTAAACACATGGTCGTGAACCTCACCACAGCTGCCACAATAAGCTAAGTTGTTGAATCAGGACTGAGATTTTGATTGGTACAGCCATGCTATAGTCTTTCATATTCTGTGTATGAGATGATGAGCATACAGGACCTCAGCAGTAAACACCCGTTGCTGGCCAACCCATTGCGCATTGCCAAATATGGAATGTATGAGTAATGCTTGTGAGAATGCTGGGATCAGGAATGCACAGTGTGCACTGCTCAACACCCCAGACGACCATGCCCAGGTGGCTGGGAATGGTGTTTATGGTACAAATTACGTCATTGCGCAATGGGTCCATTGGTATGTCCATGACCTGACAGACTGGACCAGTTCCACCACCCCTGTGAATCTGACAAACACAGCGGACACTTACGGTTGCATGTGCCGTTCGCCCCGGTCACTTGGCCATACACTCCGCAAGACACCGTAGCAGAGCCGGAAAGCTGATATCCGCTGTTACACGTCAGTGTCAGGGTATTCTGCATGATGGTGAATGCGCCTCGGCTATAGGCACCGTTGTCTGGATCTGATGGTCTTGTGCAGGGCATACTCGCAATGGACACATCTAACAGCAACACGGATCACAAGCACAATTGTCAGTGTCAGTACAGGGGCGTCGGACACGGTAAGGTCAATAGGGTATTGACCGTACCACATTAGGCCCCAGGTACCTGGGGTACCCCAGGTACCCCAGGTACCCCAGGTACCCCAGGTACCCCAGGTGCCCCAGGTGCCCCAGGTACCCCAGGTACCCCAGGTACCCCAGGTACCCCAGGTACCCCAGGTACCCCAGTACCCCAGGTACCCCAGGTACCCCAGGTACCCCAGGTACCCCAGGTACCCCAGGTACCCCAGTACCCCAGGTACCCCAGGTACCCCAGGTACCCCAGGTACCCCAGGTACCCCAGGTACCCCAGGTACCCCGTGAATCAATAAAATACACTGATCTGGACTCTAAATTTCCAAAATGTTCGGCTCAGCCACCACTCCCCCACGAGTAAACTGTACTTCAGATGACTGACCGCACCACCCAAAAATACCTTCCGACGCCCCTGCAAGTACAGTAAACCTGTTCAATATCCTTTCTTTTACTGGGTGTGTATTTTTCTCGATGATTCTCTATCTTTACCAACGTTTGCATTCCATTTCCACTCATGATTGTGTTATTTTGCCAGTAAAAGAGGCTTCTATTATGTAAGCCTGTCAAGGCGACCACTCCGCTGTCAAGGCAACCACTCCGCTGTCAAGGCGACCACTCTGCTGATAAGGCAGCCACCTCTGTTGCCAATGCCAACCACTCTGCTGATAAGGCAACCACTTTCAGGCGACCACTCTGCTGATAAGGCAGCCACCTCTGTTGCCAATGCCAACCTCACCAGGACTCAAACCCCGGGACCTTGCTTGTCATGAACAATGCTCTAACAATCCGAGCTATGGGACTTTTTGCCCGCTTGCCTGCCAGTTCACTTCCCCTGACTGTTCACCTTGAGTTTTAAGTTTTTCCCCTTTCCCATTTCAATTAATCGCTTTCTTTCACCTCTGGTAATACTTTCCAGAAACTGACCATGGTTGGTCCCTTGGGGGGAGGGAAAAAAGACCCAAGTGCCATCAGTATGTGTGGCACGTGTTGTGAGCTGCCTTTGGAGTAAAAAGACTTGTCAGCACATTCTAGGTTCGGTCTCGTCCTATAGCTCAGATGGTTAGAGCATTGCTCATTACAAGCAAGCTCCCGGGTTTGAGTCCTCGTGGGGTTGGCATTTGATAATACTATACCCAATGCTGTAGACAGCAAGCAGTTTCGGCTGTAAAGGCCTCATCGGTGTTGAGCACTGTCAGCACACTGGGTACATCCTCCGGCCTCATAATTATGATCATATTTTTAAATTGGGCACAGCAAGACAGCACTACAGCACTACAGCGGGGTTTCGCGGTGCTACCGTACCACTGACCGCTATCTGACGAAAGAAAGATGTTGTCCAGAAGGCTGACAAAGCTATGATGTGTACAACTAGCCAAATACAATACAATGAAACCTGTCTACGACGACCGCTCAAGGGACCTTCCAAACGTGGTCTCCGTCACCAGGTGGTCTCCTTATCCAGGGTCATTTGACTGCAAATAGCACCCCTTGGTCCTGATTGCAGTGGTCTTCTAGAACAGGTCGTCGCCTGGACAGGTTTAACTATATTAAAGACTATAGTTCTGTAGAAATTGAAAAACTTCAAAAACAAACTTACGGCTGCATGCACCATTCGCACCAGTCACTTGGCCGTCTTCTCCACATATTGCTGTGGTAGAACCATAAGCCGTGTAGCCACAGTCACAAGTTAGCATGAGCGTATTCTGTACAGCCGTGAAGTCCCCTGTGCTGTATGCTCCATTGTCTGGATTGGCTGGTCGTCTACAGATTCCTAGAAACACAGGTCAGAGGCAGAATGGTCTCTGTGAGTGCTGGTGAAGCCGTACGTAGGATGTGAGGGAAAAAAACGGTATAATTATACTTACGGGCACAGGTACCATTCACACCAGTCACTTGGCCATCTGCTCCACAACTTGCTGTAGGAGAACCATGAACCTGAAAACCACTGTCACAAGTTAACGTCAGTGTATTCTGTACAGCGGTGAAGTCCCCTGTGCTGTAAGCTCCATTGTCTGGATTGGTTGGTCGTGTACAGATTCCTAGCAGCACAGGTCAGAGGCAGAATGGTCATCACCCTGAGTGTTTTCAGCTTTTCAAGATATAGTGGGATTGAGTACTGGCTGAATCATACCAGTAAGAATAGCAATTTTTTTAAATATTTAATGTACACACAGTACTGAAGACAGCTAGCTGTTTTCGGTCATCTGGGCCGCATCACATCAGTACAGCTACGAGCCTTAAGCAAGCCGAACTACCGGCCACGGTGCAAAGGAGGCACCACAGACATTTTAAGATAGCTCGTCGCTCTAGCGCCAGAGTGCTCAAATTAAAAAAGTAGCGAGCAAAGCGTATATTTAATGTACACGTATTGTACGTGTCGCAGTGAAGATCTAGTTGGGAGCCCATTTCAGGTAAATACGGCACAACCACACCAATATCCACGTGCTCATTCATTCCACCTTCAGAAAACCAGCTATTTCAAGTCCATTCGGTCTCATCAACCGAGCGATTTTCTATTCCAAAATTGTTCCTCCTGGTAAAGGCATAATGCACGAAGACACACTGCGCTTTGCATGCAACTCTAGTCTGAAAATTCTTACATCCTCTCCCAAGCAGGTTGTATGCACTATAGTATACCTGAGTATACAGTTTCTAAATTCAGCGCCCAGCGAGAAGCTCACCACAGCTGCGTACAAGCTAATGATTATGCAGAATCTGACAACTTGGGCTGCAACTTACGGGCACATGTACCATTCACACCAGTCACTTGGCCGTCTGCTCCGCAAGTTGCTGTAGGAGAATCATAGACTTGGTATCCACTATCACAAGTTAACGTCAGTGTATTCTGTACAGCGGTGAAGTCCCCTGTACTGTATGCTCCGTTGTCTGGATTGGTTGGTCGTGTACAGATTCCTAGCAGCACAGGTCAGAGACAGAATGGTCAGTGTGAGTGTTTTCAATCTTTCAAGATAACTTCTCAGCGGCAGTGGGTGGCAAGACAAATGAACACTGAGTGAGTGCACATGGTGAAGATCCAGCTAGCAGACCCTCTTTCCAATTCCCACACTAAGTGCTTACTCCTGTTCAGTCAAAAAATCTTGCTGCAAAACCCAAATAATGCAATGAGCAGAATAAGCAGAATCAAGTGTGGAAAATTTTGGAAAAATGGAGCAAAAGAGTTTTAGAAGCAAAAGAGTTTTAAAAATGCATTAAGTTTCAATTTGGCACATGACCTGGTCAACAATCCAGTGAGGTCTCGAGTCGGTATCAAACAATCTCAATCTCTCTCTCTCTCTCTCTCTCTCTCTCTCTCTCTCTCTCTCTCTCTCTCTCCCTCTCCCTTCGCTCGCTCGTGCTCTCCCGGTTTTAAGTTCGCTTCCATAGAATTAGGCACCATTGCCCATTTGGCCTTGCGAAGTAAAATAAAAGTCAACAACAACAATCGTTATTAATTTGGTTAAAGAAAGATGTTGTTTTGAAGGTTGACAGTATTTTGTGTATTCAGTTAGTCAATTCCAATATTGAAGTTATGTAGAATCTTAAAAGATCATGGCAGAAACTTACGGCTGCATGTACCATTCACATCTGTCACTTGGCCGTCTTCTCCACATATTGCTGTGGTAGAACCATAAGCCATGTATCCACAGTCACAAGTTAAAGTCAGCGTATTCTGTACAGCGGTGAAGTCCCCTGTGCTGTAAGCTCCGTTGTCTGGATTAGTTGGTCGTGTACAGATTCCTAGCAACACAGGTCAGAGGCAGGATGGCCATTGTGAGTGTTTGTGAATTAGAGTCGACTCCACTTAGAACAAACTCGCATAATAGGGAATTTCGTGATACAGCAAACTGTTGTTCATGTCCCAGTTTGAACGCATGGTGTAACTGCATTTCTCTTATAACAAACTTCAGCAATAAAGAACTAATTCTTCTGCACAATGGTGTTCGTCATGTCAGGAGTCAACTGTATGTAGAATGTGAGGGAAATTACGGCAGAAACTTACGGGTACATGTACCATTCACACCAGTCACTTGACCATCTGCTCCACAACTTGCCGTAGTAGAACCATGAACCTGAAAACCACTGTCACAAGTTAACGTCAGTGTATTCTGTACAGTGGTGAAGGCGCCTGTGCTGTATGCTCCGTTGTCTGGATTGGTTGGTCGTGTACAGATTCCTAGCAGCACAGGTCAGAGGCAGGATCATCACCCTGAGTGTTTTCAATCTTTCAAGATATAGTGGGACTGAGTAATGGGTGAATTATACCAGTTAGAATAGCAATTTTTCATATTTAATGTACACCCAGTACTGTAGACAGCTAGCTGTTTCGGCCATCAAGGCCTCATCAGTACAGCTACGAGCTTTGATTAAGCCAGGCTACAGGTCATGGTGCAAAGGTGGCACCACAGACAATTTAAAAGATAGCTCGGCGCTCTAGCGCCAGAGTGCTCAAACTACGAAAAGTAGCGAGCGATGCGTAAGTGTAATGTATATGTAGTGTATGTGGCGTCGTGAAAATCTAGCTGGCAAGCTATACAGCTCGTGTAAATATGGCACAACCATACAAATATCTACATGTTCACTCATTACACCTTCTCCATCACTCCTCTCTCTTGTCAACCCCGCGCTATTTTCCATTCCGAAATTGTTACTCCTGGTAAAGACTCAATGCACGAAGAACAGTCTGCGCTTTGCATGCCACTCTAGTCTGAAAATACTTACATCCTCTGCCAGGCAGGGTGAATGTATACAGTGCATCAACCTTTGGCCAATTGAGGTTTTCAAAAAAGAAATTGATCAGTAGTTGTTGCTTTCACATGCAGCCATGGCTCAATCATGCATCATTCTCCTTTAGGGCGCGTTCAGACTACCGTGAATCCCGAAACCGTGAATGCCGATAAACCGTGAAGGACATTCACACTACCGATAAACTAACGTTACTGGTACATAAGTTTTGCAGCTCTCACCGCGGCGCTGAGAAGGGATTTCCCTTTTTACCAGCCTGAGCACTCTTTTTACTGCCGGAATAGTTTTACTGCCGCAGCGGCAGCCGCCCGTAACATGCCAGTAACGTCACGTGATTAAATCACCGTGGAAACTTTTTCAATCGGTCACTTTTTATCGGTAGTCTGATCGCGCCCTTAAGAAAAACTTTGGCCTGCGATTTACTTTGGCCGGTTGGTACCCAGAACTAAATTTTAGCAGCTTGCATATGCCATTGATATATGTGGAAAGCGCGCACTTGCGCCATTTCTGGTGTATAAGAATGATCATTCCTCCATTATCATCATTATCATCCTCTACTGATGAGCTCCGACAGGGAGCGAAACAGCTGTCTAGAGGCGTGGAGCAATATTATCTCTCAACGGAAGTGTCCTTGCTGGTGTCTGTATGGTTCGGCTGAAGAGCGCGTGGTTGTGATCGGTTGGTACCCAGTAGCGAAATTGCACCGCCCGCGAAAATATGTTTATGTACAGCATGTAGAATTTGACAGACTTGGGCTGCAACTTACGGGCACATGTCCCATGCACACCAGTCACTTGGCCATCTGCTCCACAGGTAGCTGTAGAATAACCATTGACTTCGTATCCACTATCACAAGTTAACGTCAGTGTATTCTGTACAGCTGTGAAGTCCCCTGTGCTGTAGGCTCCGTTGTCTGGATTGGTTGGTCGTGTACAGATTCCTAGAAACACAGGTCAGAGGCAGGATAGTCATGGTGAAGTTCAAGATTACTATTTTCTCTGTTGTCTTGCCAGGTACTGTAAAAGCAGAAATTTTCGGTGGTGTTTTATTTTCGGTAACTTCGGTGCCTACAATTTTTACCGAAAATAAAACGCACCGAAATATTCGGTACAACCGATACTCTATACTTCGAAGTACATGTAGTACTAGTACACCTACCTGGAGAACGGGTTTTACCGAAAATTTCCCTCTACCGAACCGCCGATTTTGGCGAATACCGAAAATATTACACCACCGAAAAGTTCTGCTTTTACAGTAGCACACGCGTGTATTTCGAAGTATCCTGAGTTCATGAGGTGAAGATCCAGCTGAAAGACCCTCTTTCTAATTCCCACAGTTAAATGCCTGTTCTTGTTCATTCATAATTCTTGCTACAAGAGCCAAATACAGTGGATATCGGTTATAAAGTCATCGGATATAGTGATAAACCGGTTATACTGATACAAGATGAAAATATCAAAAGCAAAACCAGAAAAAGCCAGTCAAATTATCATTATAACCAATATATCGGATATAGCGATAAATCGGCTATAAGGATACAGAATCACAATTCAAAACACCTCTTTGTACAGAAAAAATATCGGCTATAATGATAGCAACACACGAGTGAAAGATATTGGTGTGCCAATTTGGAGCCATACGAGTGTTTTTCTAGTGCCGCCACAACTCGTCAATTCTGGTCTGCTGCTTCCTGGATGATGCCTTGGCGGACAGGAAGTTCTCCACTCTGGAGAAGCTGGCGTGCATGCTGGAGTCGGCATTGCTAGCGTACAGCGCCAGACGAACGGTGCTTACAGCCTGCAATAACTCGGCAGCAGACGGAGGTGAAGGCAATTCCTCGGCCACTTCATCTTCGTCATCTCTGTCAGAGTCTGCAGTTTCATCCTGCAGTGCCTGGACAATTTCGCAGACATCGTCACTTGGAGCAACCCGGCATGGCTCAGTTGAATCCAGTCTCTCCAGCTCTGTGATGTCGGTCTGAAGAGTGTCGTCTTCGTCAACAGGCACATCATCAGCCACAGTGGGACCCATCACAAACCCAGCCTTCCTCCAGCAATTCTGGATGGTCGCCTCCGAGACAGAGTCCCATGAAGACTTTGCGTACTGCAGGCAGTGAAGAATGTTCACGTTCTTCTTGAGCACTGCAGTGTCCAGCTTCGCCATCGTAGGGTCATCTACAAACTGAACCACCTTGCGCAACATGAGGCGGCGGTACGTGCACTTGAATGATTGGATGATTCCGGCATCACAGGGTTGAATCACGGACGTCGTGTTTGGTGGCAGGAATACAACGCGGACATAGTCCAGACGATCAGCCACGCCATCAAACTTGTGCCCAGGGCAGTTGTCCACCAGCAGAACAATCTTTTTACCCTTCCTGCGGAATGTTCTGTTGGTGTCCAGCAGCCACTCCGAAAATATCTGCTCGTTCATCCAGGCCTTCGGATTGGAGCACCACTGTCCTCCAATGACAGCAGCTGGAGTGCTTTTTACCGCAGCAACAGCACGGGGAAGCTTCGAATTGCCAATCGCCAGAAGAGGCAGTCTTTCTCCAGACATGGAGACAGTGGTGGCAAAGGTGATTCGGTCTTTCTGCGTCTTGCTGCCTGATAGCCGTTCATTGACGCAAGCCAACGTTCTCTGCGGCAGAGCTCTCCAGAAAAGACCAGTCTCATCCATATTCCAAACGCGCGTCGGATCACCATCGACGCTGGCAAACACCTCTGGCCAGGTGTCCTCCATGAAAGCTGCAGCGGCAGCGACGTCAGCATCAGCAGCTTCGCCATGAGTCTTACGTGACTTTATTTTCCTCTTGGCGAGGAAGCGCTGCACAAATGATCTCCACGCTATGTCCGTCAATGGCAGATCTTTCCGTTCAACCAGATCCTTCGCTACAAGTTCATCAGCTATCTGATGGCCCTTCACAATCAGCATGTCATACGTTATCGTTGTGAGTTTCTTTGAAAGGCACGCTTCGTGAAAACTCTCCAGGCCTTTCTCTAACAGGACGCAGTTGCTAGACCGATTTTTACGGACTCCTTTCAAACTGGACGATGCCACGTCCATGATCGACGACTTGTTCTTCAGGATGGTAGAGACGGACGACTGCCCGATTCCAAAGTGCCGTCCAATATCGCCTTGCGTCGCTCGAGGATTTTTCTCCGCATAGTTGAGAATTTCAACCTTCTTCTCAACGGTCAAACAAACTCTATTTCGCTTCGCACTAGCCTCCATCATGCAAATCACGAAATTCAGGAACAAGAAATACGACTGAAACTCTCCTTGACAAGCAGGACAACAACCTTCAAACGGGGAAAGTCAACAAGGAAAAGGCTGACCATGCCCCGCACTACACATGTTACGCTTGCTGCATGCAGAGTGTGCTGCACTCAGCCTACAGCAAGGGTAGCTCGCGTAGTCCACTACTGCTCGCGTAGTCTCCTTACAAGACATCTATCGTGTACATGTACTATCTACACTGTACACTGTACACTACTCGCACCAGTACGCTACACTAGCGCGATCGAGTACCCACACGTGTATACTGTGCATGTACGACGCGCACTGTTGAAAATCGCCTGTAGTGATATACCGGTTATAGTGATAACATGTGAAAAATCAGAAGGGCACGTTATAACCGATATCTACTGTAATGCAATGAACAGAGTCAAGTGTGCCCTCTGATTTAATGTGAAAACTGAAAAAATGGAGCAAATGGGTTACTTGTAGTAGAAGAGAAGGGAACGAAAACGTTCGGTTCTAAAATGTCCTAGTGTTCATTTGGACTGGTGTGGATTGCACAGATGCATGTACTGCATTGAAGTAATAAATAAAAGTTAGTGCATATGATGATAGGAAATGGAAAACATGGTCTCCACGGGGACTCCTTAGGGGGCGTCCAAGGTTGCCAATAGTATTTTCAAAACGAAAAGTTTTCGTTTGGGGGTGGGTGGGTTTGAAGGAGTTTTGTTTCGAAAATAATTATTGAATGCAGATGGAGAATGCCCGGTTACATGTGGATGTCGAAAATTAACATCAAAATTTTACCTGAATTCGTTTTACCTGCAGAAAAGGTAGGTGGGTGGGTGGGTGGGTGCTGAAAAATACTAAAACTATTCGTTTCTTAGAGTGCAACAACTATTGGTAACCCCAGACGGCCCCTTAAAGCTTTTCCATTGGCACGCCAAAACAACAATAAAGTGGGGTATCGTGTTGTCGTATCGTGTTATTTTCTTCCCATCTCAATCGCTGTCTGATGAAGGAAACATTGCTTCGGAGGGTTTGCAAAGTTATTTGTAGCCAGTTAGCCAATTACAAATGTACGATTATGTAGAATCTGAAACAGGTGGCCGAAACTTACGGGCACATGTACCATTCACATCAGTCACTTGGCCGTCTGCTCCGCAAGTTGCCGCAGCAGAACCATACATCTGATAGCCACTATCACAAGTTAACATCAGTGTATTCTGTACAGCTGTGAAGTCCCCTGTGCTGTAAGCTCCGTTGTCTGGATTGGTTGGTCGTGTACAGATTCCTAGCAGCACAGGTCAGAGGCAGGATAGTCACCGTAAGTGTTTTCAAGTTTCAACCTTTTGAGATACAGTGGGAGTGGGTAAAAGGTCAATTACACCAGCAAGCAATATACACATAGTGTACATGGTGTATGGTGAACAGTATGTATGTTACTAGGCGGAGGACGCACTGGCTGCGTTCGATTATGCACTTGAATCGATTCATGAATGGAATCTCGCCGTTCGATTTCATATCATGAGCCCCGGAATCGATTCGGAATCCATTCACCCTATTCACATGGGGTGATGTGAATAGTAGCTCGAATCCATTCATGAATCGATGCGCCCCGCATAATCAAACGCACTCACTGTGATGACCATAGTGCTCCATACTACAACCATCCACGGTTGGCAGAGCCCCGCGGATGGTACCGCCTTGTAACATGCTGTCAACCAACCAACAGGATTGTTTTCAACCAAACAAAGCTTACCTAGTAACACAGTGTACATGCATGAGCAGTGAAGGTCCTGCTGGAAGACCCTCTGGCAATTTATAATTGTACACTTGTTCATCCACTTCAACTCCAAACCGTTCATGGTTTTGACCTTGTTGGGACTCATCAACGGCGCAATTTGCTCTGATAAAATGGTAGCTGTTGCTTTAGTTTAGTGCACGAAGACAGGTTGTGCTTTGAAGGCTGAAAAGTATGAAGTTCATCACAGCTGCCAGGAGAGAACAATTTAGAATCCAATAATATGTCGGACTCTCCCCGTTTGTGTCTGTCCGTCAAACCAGTGAATATGTCAGAAACTTACGAACACAGGTACTATTCATACCAGTCACCTGACCATCTGCTCCGCAACTTGCCGTAGCAGAACCATAAAGCTGGTGTCCACTATCACAAGTTAACGTCAGTGTATTCTGTACAGCGGTGAAGTCCCCTGTACTGTAAGCTCCGTCGTCTGGATTGGTTGGTCGTGTACAGACTCCTAGCAGCACAGGTCAGAGACAGGATAGTCATTGTGAGTGCCTTCAGCTTTTCAAGATAATTATAGTGGAGCGGGGTGAATCGTATTTGCAAGAATGACAAATGTAGACATGGTGTATGTGCAGTGAAGATGCAGCTGGCACTTTCTCACGTTGTTGCGGTATACCCACCCTGAAAAACACTTGAAGAGCTGAAGTGTAAAACCACTGAATCGATTTTATGGCAATATTCAGTTGAGATATGAATCAGCAGCCCACTGAGTGTTATTGAAGATAGGGCAAGAGTGATATACCATGACCACATTACAGCATTGTGTGTTGCTCCCTACATGGGAGCTTGCGCTATTCCTGCCGACTTAAATTCTCACTTGACCGACTCACGACTGCCATCCAGTTGCACCAACCTCTTCTTCACATTACATAACACTGCCAATCCGCAATTCTAAGTCATACTCTGTTCCTTCATGGCCACCTGAATCCTGAAAATGGTTGTGATAACCGAAACGTTGACAAAAATTACTGGATTTTGTGTGCAATGCGGTGCTTACTTGGGTTTGGGTGAGTTGGCTGCAAACGGTTCGTGTGATATAGGGGTAATGCAGGGGCATCAAACACGGTACGGTCACTATGGTACGGTCACTACAAGTCAATTATTCCCTTTCCTTACCCATTGTGCAGGCTCAAGCTGGCCCTGGGGTATGATACAGATCTATTTCATTCCTTGGTGCTGACCGCTTTAATGCGCTTCCCGAGTCCCTTCGCACAAATTATATCCCCAATTCATTTCGCCAGGAACTTAACAATTTCATTCATCTTGGGCACCCTGTAAGAAGACCTTAGGGTCTGTTGGGAATGCCCGAGTAAAATAATAAAATACAATACAATAGTACGAAATAGAGGTTGCGACTTCGGCGATGATTTTGTTTAGGAATGGGTTTGCTCCCACACTGGAGCTCGCGCTATTCCGCCGACGACTTGACACTTGACTGACTCACGACTGCCATCCAGAGAACACGAGAAGTCCATCGAACCTTCGACTCGGCAAACCTGCAAGAAAGCACCACTCCCTGCTCAATACACAGTGTTTCGGGGAATGCACCCCTCATCAGTTGAGCTTGAGTAGGCTGAGGAAGATTGTGCCTGAAGAGCACCACTTATATAGTGCTGTCCAGGCACAAACATCACCAGGGATACAAACTTACAGAGACACTCCGTTTCCAGCGCGACAAACACCTCGTGAACACCAGATAGCAGCGTGAGTCAGTTATCTCACCGTCCAGGAGCGATAACTGACTCACGCTGCTATCTGGTGTTCACGAGGTGTTTGTCGCGCTGGAAACGGAGTGTCTCTGTAAGTTTGTATCCCTGGTGATGTTTGTGCCTGGACAGCACTATATAAGTGGTGCTCTTCAGGCACAATCTTCCTCAGCCTACTCAAGCTCAACTGATGAGGGGTGCATTCCCCGAAACACTGTGTATTGAGCAGGGAGTGGTGCTTTCTTGCAGGTTTGCCGAGTCGAAGGTTCGATGGACTTCTCGTGTTCTCTGGATGGCAGTCGTGAGTCAGTCAAGTGTCAAGTCGTCGGCGGAATAGCGCGAGCTCCAGTGTGGGAGCAAACCCATTCCTATACAATACAATACAGTACAATACAACACTACGGTATTGACCGTACCACTTTTTGTCCCAGGTACCCCGTGAATCTATAAAGAACACTGATCTGGACTCTAAATTTCCAAAATTTTCAGCTCAGGCAACCCCTCCCAAACGAGTAAATTGTACAGTTCAGATAGCTGACCCGTACCACACCAAAATACATTCCGACGTCCGTGTGATGAAAAAGTAATTTTTACTCCAAATGCTCACCCAGGTTAGTAAGCATGGTGATGGTCTATGGGGTCATCTCACCACAGCCACATTCAAGCTGATACATACACATGTAGACTCTCATACACGTGGCGGAAACTTACGAGTGCATGTGCCAGTTGCATCAGTCACTTGGCCGTCTGCTCCGCAAGTTGCCGCAGCGGAACCATGAACCTGAAAACCACTGACACAAGTTAATGTCAGTGTATTCTGTACAGCGGTGAAGTCCCCTGTGCTGTATGCGCCGTCGTCTGGATTGGTTGGTCGTGTACAGATTCCTAGCAGCACAGGTCAGAGACAGGATAGTCATTGTGAGTGTTTTCAGCCTTTCAGGATGTGGTGAGGTTGTGTACTGTGTGAATCAGATCAGTAAGCATGGCTAATGCACACATAGGCATGTAGTGTATGTGCAGTGAAGCCGGATCCAGATGATAGTTCATCTCGCGAAATATGGTATACCAACAATAAATGCCGACTCTTGGACATTCAAATATTGTTATGGACCAACATTATAATGTGTGCCCTAAAATGGACAGCGAGGAAAGTAGTCAAAAATTCTTTTAAATACCGTATTTCCCCGATTGTAAGGCGCACTCGATTATAAGTCGCACCCCCACTTTGACGTTTGAACCACATTGTTTCAATACATGCATATAACTGTTAAGTAGGATGTCACTCTCGATTATAAGTCGCACCCCCTTCTTTGCCCTTGAAGTGTAGTGTAAGAAGGTGCGACTTATAATCGGGGAAATGCGGTAGATACCGTTCCGATGGCTGAAACGGTTCATGTACTCCGAGGCTATCAGCCAATTGTAACGCAGATTGAGTATTTCGCTCCTGCTCTTGTAGCAGTTGAGCACTCCTGTGCGGG